CCCCCCCCCCCCCCCCAGTGTCTCTCAGTGGGAGAGGGAAGTCTCAAGCCTGGTGGGCAACATGCAGATTTAAGCGGTAAATTAAGGGTTTTTCTGTTTTTGAACTCAGATAAACCTCCTTTTGCCTCTGTTTTGTGAGTAGTTTAAGGGATTCTATTTGGTCAGAATTTTCTAGAAAACGGATTGTGTTCTCCTCCCAAGGAAGGTGACTGCACCAGTGGGGACAGCAGACTCCCCACTCTGGGGTGGAGCAGGTGCGGCACGTTGGCCCCTCCCGGGGTCTTTGACTCACAGCAGGCTGTTACTGTTGCTGGGATTTGCTTGTTTTTAGAATTTGAATGCCTTTCATCGGGCCCGTGCATCCTCCAGCTGACCACAGGCCCTGTGGCCTGCTTATCTGTTCATTCCTCAAATACTTAGTGAGCACGTGTTCCAGGAACCGCTGAGGGACTAGGAATACACCAATGGACAAATCAGACGAAAAACAAAAAAATCCCTGGTTCAAGGCCCTTACATTCTAGGGCGTCTTACTGCTTTGTGCCCATCTGGTTTCACCCATTTTCTTCCTGCCTGCCTGTGGCCATCTGAGTCTGTGCCTTATTCTGAGGAAGAAATGTGAGAATCTAGGATCTCTTAGAGTCATTTTAAGTTTTTTACTATGGTGATCTCTTTTCTTCTCTGCCAAAAATACAGTACCGTGTAAGAAAACAGTATGAAGGAATCACCAACATACCAGTGTTGTAGAAATATTTTAATAAGAAAAATGGCTGGACAGCGTTGACTTTCAAAACATTCTCGAGAAGTGCTTTTTGAAGATGATGCTGGCATGACAGTTTCCAAGGCTGGAAACGATTTACTGAAGGAGTAAATACCAGGTTGCATCTCTGGGCCAATGCAGACCAAAGAGGTTAAACCTGGGATGATTAGAAATCTTCCATCTGGAATGGTGGGACATAGCACGAAATATCTAATCTTAGGTTGCACAGAATTCCAGAATTAGAAAAGTCTCTTAAAGATTGTTTTGGGAAGAATTATTTCACACAATGGGCATTAGCCATTGTCCCAAGCAGCTGAACCAGCTAAAAAGACAAACCATATGATGAAGGTTCTCAGTAGATTAATGGATGAAATTCCCTTAATGGTTCATTAAAGAGACATTAAAGATGTGCCTTTCCAGGTCTCCATCATGGAGGACAAGAGTCTCCCACCCAACCCCCTGATGTGCCCCTGTTGGAAACCCTGCTTCTGCTCACATTGCACATCTTAACTCAGGTTGGGGGATGGTGCTCATGTCCCAGTCTTAGACCAGAACAACGCCAGTACCCTCTGAGACAGTACATCATAGCGTGGATTTCCTTTCCGAAAATCCCCCTGAATCTTCTTTCTTTTCATTAAATACTCTTGAATCATTTACTGATGGAGTCAGAATTTAGATTATACTAACCTAAATCAGATTCAAAGAAAAGCAGCATAGACGTGAAATGAGTTCAAAATCTGCCCCTTCCTGGCTGGCTGGAGTAGGTGCGCCACATCTCATGCAGCCTCAGCTTCCCTTCTGCAGCAATGAGGCGTTACGGGAGCTAGGAGCTGCCCTGCCTCACTCCCACAGAGAGCAACGGAGGTGGGCTGTGTGAAAGTGCCTTGCAAAATCTGACATTCTTATTCTGGGGGGTGGGCGTTGGTTCCTGGTAGCTGACAGTGCAGGCTGACATTCTTTTCTCTGTATTCATAGTACATGCATATATTCCTCATCACCCCCCGGACCCCCAGCAAGAAAACACAGCGCTCACCTGATGAGCTCCACCGTTTCTGAGTACATCGTGTAAGGAGATTTGGATTCCATCGGGCCTTGTTCCATTGCATTTCCACACTCGATGAATGACAGGGCAGCTTCAGCGTAGTTCAGAGCCTTTCCAAACTTTTCCACCTGATCAACAGAGTTAATACAGTGTCCTCCTTAAGCAGAGTTTTTCAAACGCCATTGTCACATAGTCTATATACTTTATTTGAGAAACCCGATTTTTGAGTTCCAAATTCCTGTGAACAGAGCTGAGAGAAGAAAGAAAGAGGACATTCTCTTCTCTAGCTATTTCACAAATTGCTACTGATTTAGGGTAAGTGAGCAAATGGTTACATACAGAATTCTACCAAATCCACATAACAACCACTAATCAGAATTGTTCCGAAATCCACGGGTCCTCTGTTCCTGTTTCCCTCTTTCTAACCCCCAGTGGTCTGGCCACTTCACTCCTGGTTCCTCCATGCTATGCTAATGTACATCAAAGTTGGTAAATCTGATTCCATATAAGAGTTTTCACACTTTTTTTTGTATACTCCAACTTTGATGGTTTGAGGCCTTGGTTATTATCTTTTACATTATTTGTGACATTTACATCTCCAGGCCTTCCTTTTATCATGCGCTTTTTAGTTATTTCATCAATAGTTTGGACCTCACTTAAGGGAGAGAATGAAGAGGGGAAAGGAGACAAGATAAAACTCAAGACACTATTTCACTTTAGCTAAAATGGGACACAAAGTTGAAAATCAATAAAAAACAATTTGGATTATCTAAGGTTGTCAAATTTATGTTAATCCTTCCCCACATTAGCAAGGATAACCAAGAATCAGCCTATATTCTTAGATTCTCATAAATCTAAACTTACACATCAAGTTCCTGGTTCTATACATTGTTACCCTCTGTGGATAATTACATATTCTAAGTTTAAATTGCATAATCTCCCCAGTTTTCAAATAGTCATTCATCAATCAAAAGAGAGTTACACAAATACTCCAACTACTTATCTAAAGCTTGCCTCTGAAAAAAATTCTCAACACTAATGATACTTTAGAAAACAGAAATGTAGAGCAAAACTCTCCTTCATTAGCAAATCAAATTTTTAAACAGCTTACAACCCTAATAGGCTATAGAGTAATATTTCTTGACAACGCTGTCAGATTAAGGAAGTCATTTCATTCAACAAGTATTTTCTAAAGCACCCACTTCAGTGCTATGTGAGTTTGACACAGAAAAGCACCTTCCAGGAACATAGAATACATTAGAGAGGGAAAACGTGCACCCACAAGATAGTTCAAAGTGCAAGGCAGTCTGTGATTAACAAAATACAAAGCAAGTATTCCAATGCAAAAGAGATGGTAGGAAGGGAGCAAGTGACAGGGCTACAGAGAGGCTGGGGAGGCCCCAGGGAAGAGACTTGAAATGACACTGGGAAGGGATGGTACGATTTGGCTGGATTTGGGGAGGACGCTAAAGGTGTGAGTGTGCATGAGAATGAGAATGTGTGAGTGAGTATGTGTGAGGAGCTCTGAGTGTGCGTGTGAGTGTGAGGCTCTGCAGGTGCAAAGGCCCACTGGCTGGCTTGAGCGAGCTGTGCTTAGAGGCCGTAGGGGACCAACCTGGCTGAGCAGAATGTCGATAAGAAAGGTCATTTAAGGCAAGATGACACTGAATGAATAATCCTGGTAAACGGTGGATGATTCAGGCAGAAAATTTCTTTCTGCTTTAAAATTCAATGCCCTTCCCCAGCAGTGACCACGCATCAGCCTCTTCAGGGGACCAGAACTCTCCATCAGACTATGGGATTGTGAAGATAAGAACTGCATCTCCTGTTTCCCTGTTCTATTTTCTGATACTCAGTGGTTATTTCTCCCTTACACTAGGGTACCTAGGCAGTGATCTTCATACAAATAAATGCTTGATGGGCAACATGAGTCGCACTGGGAGGGGGTACTCTTGTGGTTTTACCATTTTCAACACGGGAATAACACTGTGAGAGTCATTTGAAATGCCTTATTCATCTCCGGCACCCTGATCTCAGTTATGAACACTGCAGGGGAACAGAACCAGAATTACTAGGTAGGAAGGAGTCCCCTTCGACGAGACCTTAAGATGGAACAACCATATGATCTCTTTTAGAAAAAAACAGAAGTTTTCTATCTCTTGCCTGAAAGCTTCAAGTTTTCCAAAATAGTAGATTATCCAAGTAAGAAGAGTTATTCTTTGAAAAATCAAATCATGGTGATTTTAGGGTCTTAGGTGCAGTATAATAATTTCCGTGTTGTACAGCTTCAGGAGAAATATTTGAGTCTTTTTGAAAGGGGTTTTGATCCTGAGTCCCAGCCAAGGGTTGGCCAGGCTAACAAGAGAGAAAAATGCAAACCTAGATTGTTTTTTTTTTTTAAGGAAATTAATGCTCCCACCTACTGCCTCCATTGCCTCTGGTTAGTATTCAAACCTTAGGACTAAATTGAAATATTCGTTTATCCAGGGCTTTTTCCCAGTCAGACATTATTGGTTGAAGTCATAATTTATTGGGCTATGAGCACTTGATTATATAAACATTTCTCCATTTAACAGACCCAGCCATCCTTGTAATAGATTTTATAATTACCCCAGCTATATTGCCCCAATGATGAAGCTCCAGTACAAACATAATTTGGAAGAATGTATCTGGAAAGAAAAGGGTCTTACCATTGCATCTGCTTTATGCTTCATTCGTTTAGCTTCTTGCATAAAATAATCTGCACTGCGTGGCCTACAAGGAGAGAATGGTATTAAATGTCATTAGTGTGTAAGGGCAAGATCTTTTGAAAATATTGCTTCCTTTTGCTCAAACTTGAAGCACAATTTTAAAACTCTGCTTGATATGGAATCAAGTATTTTTTGCATTTCCAAATTACTGTCTATATGTAAAATGCCACAATTATATTTCTCAAGTTAGCAATTCAAGACACACTCAGTATATGTAGATAGTATACATTTACAGTGATTTTAACACGGTTCCTCAGTGCCTAATTTGTGAATCTGATTTTTTACTCCTTGCTTAAGAAAACAAATGAAAATTCTATTTCATGTGATATTTACACAAAATGATCCCTTTTTAACGTAAAGATTACAAATATACCACATAATAATTGTATGGATATGTATGGGTGAGTACATTTATGTATCCTTATGAAAATAAGTGTCATTTATATGCATAAATGGTACCTAGAGTTGTATGTATCTAGATATGTAATTATTTTAAAGCTTCACAGTGAAAAATGAAAAAAGATAATGGCCGTATGATTCCACTCCAGTTGTAACGAAGTTAATTGTAAAATGATGTCTACCTTGTAACAATACAAACTTGGCTTGTATTCTCTAGAGTTCTGATTAGCTAGCTGGTAAACATTAACAGCAGACATGTGCATTACTAAAGCAATAACCCTGGCCAGCACTGACTCTGCTGGGAGATGAAGGTAATTCATCCAGAGACTGATCTGAGTGTGTGTAGTGACCCCAAGTGACACTAAGCTACTCCTCATACAGTACCTTTAAATGCTTAGTCTGATAGATTTTTAAAAATCTAAATACGTTAGGTGCCATCATCATAAACTTTTTTCTGTAGTATGGGTCTTTATGAAATCAATAAGCTTGACCTATTCATGAATATCCAATATAAGGCAGGACTCCCTGAATGGGAGAGGAGATGTAAGCAGTGATATTAATCACGGACTGTTTAACCTATTGTTCCACGCTTATTTTGAATGCCTTCTTTCAGATTCTAATGGGTCTTTTTCCTTCTTGCAATGTTAGGTAGTCAGTGCATCTTTTTATCCAAAGCAGTAATAGCGATTAGAAAAACCATGCATACCGTGTCAACGACATTGCAATCCAAAACCATTATCCTCATTTTAATGATTTTAATCAATCAAACAAAGAAACAAACCAGGATCATAGCAAAGAATTAGTTTCAGGTCACAAATCACTGAAGCAAGACAAGGACCTGTTTTTCTGTCTCTTACTTCCCCATGAGATATTGTCAGTACTGTGGGAACACGGGAATATAATCTAACTTTTCCAACGCAGAAATGAGGAACATAGTTCCAAGATTTCCTTAATGTGTCTAATTAATTAAACTTGTTGTCTTTGGCTCATTATCCCTTCACTGTTCTTCCTGCCACGCAGGCCTGAAAGCTTCCCCTCATCTTGATGGGTCTTCTTTGGTGGCTGAGGCCTGGGGTTTCCTTCATAGGAAGGCCCTGATCCTACTGGCTCTTCTTTTCTCTAGTTCACCTCCCAGATGTCCACATTTCTTCTACTTGAATGGTTTTTCAGTTGCCTTTACATGGTCGTTTTTCCTTCTGTGTCCACAGATTGACCTTTGAACACATATTGACTGTCAGGTCTTTAATTCCAACTCTGGCAATTTACATTATTTTTGTTGTTGTTTTTGTTTTTTAACGGACTGACTTTATTGTTTAGAGCATTTTTAGATTCTCAGGAAAATTCAGCAGAAAGTACAGAGAGTTCCCATGTACATCCTGCCCCCACACACGCACAGCCTCCCTCACTGTCAACATCTTCCACCAGAGTGGCACATTTGTTACAACTGATGAACCTACACTGGCACATCATCATCACCCAGAGTCCACAGTTTACATTAGGGGTCACTCTTGTGTTGTACCATAGTGTTGTTCACTCTATGGGTTTTGATAAGTGTATAATGACATGTATCCACTAATGTAATATCATACAGGATAGTTTCACTGCCCTAAAAATCCTCTGCATTATTTTTTGTTTGTCCTTTTGCTGCATGCCCCAAAGCGGAAGACCAGACCCTACCTCTAGTCCAAACCCAGATCAGACTCCTGAGCCTCAGACGGGGTCCCAGAGCCTATTTGTTAAGGAGGGGAGTTCAGGTATCTCTATCCATTTCTCCCCACATTACCAAAAGCTATGAATGCTTCCTCGTATACATTCCTTTCTATTCTCAATGACCATATCCACCACCCAAATCTAGGCTTGTGTCACCTCTCTTGGCCTCTAGTTTCACTCCCCTCCAGTCCATCCTGAACTTTAACCCTTGACTAACGTTTGTAAAACATGGCTTTCATTAAATCACCATCCTACTCCCAGACCTAAAATCAGTTTCTAGGGCCTATGAGATCAAATCTCAGTTCAGGTTCCTCAGAATCTCGCCTAACCTTCTTAACCATATCACTTACTCACCAAGGCCCTCAGGCATAGACAGAGTGGTTTCCTCACTGTCTTATTAACATGTCATCTCTGTCGTAGAAGCTCTGCTCATCTTGTCCCTCCTCCCTGGAACACTCTCCTCTTCGCTCATCCATTAAGCGCTCATTCACTGAGTGCCTACTGGGAGGCAAATGTTTCCTGTCCCTCAAATTCTTGCGCCATGAGGCCTTCCTGGTAACTTTGGTCCAAGCTCATCTCTGTCTTTCCTGATCTCAAATACCATTTCTTGTTTACACTACATTTGTGGGCATTTAATTACCTTCTGAGCTCTACTGGGCTACAGTCATGGTATGTGTGCAACTTTGCAGCTGGTCCATTTTCAGTGGGGACCATGCTCTAGGCCTCTTTGATCTTCCCCATCCTGCAGTTTTAGGCACATGGTAGAAGGTAAATGAATCCCCCTTGAATTCATTTTGAGCTTAGAAGAGAGTAGTGGCTTCTGATGGGCTACAGCATCACAGCCAATGAGCCAGAGAACATCTCCATGGCAACTTGAAATTCTCTACATCATTATCTGCATCACACTCTAGTCTATGAGTTTGGTCATTTTTTTCTCGCCCTGTTTTGTAGACCTTGTCACTAACAGATGATCATTTCAAATGCATTTTCTTTTCGTGAAAGGATTCTCTTGGTGATAAGCTATGCATCATAGTTTTTACTAGTCTTCTAAGTTACCCTGAGGGATGGCAGTGGCTCCTAATTCTTAATACGTGTTCCTTAATCAGTGTTGTTTTTATTTGCAGCATATGAATGTGTTTTTTAAACCTGATATGGAGGCTGAGTCACAAACTCTCACAATAGTGTATGTGGATAAGTAACATCTATTTTCGGACTAGATCACAGCTGCTACAATAGTAACCTGAGACGACGAAAAAAACGTACTATCGGGGCCATTTACAAACACATTAGTCAGAATCCTCATCTTTGCATGTAATGGAGGGCTCACTACACTGAGCTACTGAAGATTGCTGGACGATGGGCCCATTTTCTCCTTTCAGGTGATTTCCAGTGCCACTCTCCTGGATCAGAACACTACAAAGACAGTGGGACCAATGGGGGGTCACCAAGATGGTCCAGCAGCGCTGTGGATGCATGCCGTCATGCGGGCATCACTCGCACAGCCAGGCACAAGTCAGAAGGGAAGTAAAAGTGTTGTCCCCATTGGGGCAGTTACAGAATATAACATGGCAAAGGTACAGCAAGAAAATCTAATTATCTGAGTGTTCAAACAGATTTTTCATCTAGTTTTCTATTACTTTACATGGAAAACCTAGAGTTTTTGTTTTTCATTTAGATAAGATTCTTCATCACATTGTTCCTCACAGTGATGGTATTTTTATGATGATACATGAACAAAGTTCAATTAAACATCACACATGTAACTAATGGCGGATCTTGGGCTCTTCGGCTCTTCAGAAACCGGGTTTGAGTGATCTAAACCACAGCTTAGCCAAGTGCATCTCTAAGAGCTCTCCGCATCAGTAACAATCTGAGCCCTTGATCCAAACAGAATGTTTTCTTTTGTTCTCCTCTCCCTCTCACCACCCCCACCTACAAACACTGGGCCTTAGTCCTGAGCAGCAATGGGGGCTGAGCCACCCTAATGTTTTTTCTGGCACAGGAGCCTTAAAGCAACCTTGCTTTTTGTTCTCCTTTGCGGCTGATCTTGAGCTGAACGGTCTCCCACGGAGAGGCTGGCAGACTTCTTTCTGCAATTCCTGCCTCCGCGCAGCGCCTCCCCTCAGCAGAGGCAGCCTGTTTTGTGAAAACTGGCAGGGACGAGAGCTCAGCGTGTTTGAACAAACAGGTTCCTTGGCACAGCGGAGATCTGGATAATTTTCTTAGGGGAGTTGAAATCCAAATCAGACAACGAGGCAACTGCATACCAAATAACTTCATCATCTGATAAGCCCCAGGGGTGTCATTGTGTCCCAAGCTTTGAGGTACTTTCTTCACAAAAAAGAACATGTAAGAAGTTAAGTAATTATTTTTAATGCACTAAGTGGCCACTATTGATGAGGGCACTTCGGGGGTGCTGAGGTTGGCTTTGCGAGGCTTCCTGAGGGAAGCAGGACTGCATCTGGGCAGCGAGGATTCAGATGCAGCTTTTGTCTCCATCACCTTGATGTTGGCGGAGATCCCTAAGTTCCTGGAACCTGGCTTCTAAGAAGCACGAGCCTTCATTCCCTGTGTCTCTTACAGGCCAGAGGCTCTTGCAGATGACTCTTCCCCTTGGACCACGCATGGAAAACAGCGCGTGCCTTCCAGGATGCACGGGCTAAGCGTGGCAGGTTTTCATCATTTAATCAGCAGCAACTTTCTGTTGAAATGGAAACTTATCAACTTGTTGTTGTTCTCTGGGTGCGACATTTAAAATAAAATGATTTTATAAAATGCTTAAAAATGATCCGAGCACCAAGATTTCAACCAGGCACACCTGAAAGGCTTCGACTCCCATTTCCCCCGAAGCTTAGTTCTTTTTCTTCTTTCTCTGTCTTTGTTTTGGTTAGAACAAAATTTTTTTGTCAGACAAATTTTCCATATAAAGAACATAAAGGCATAGTAATGGTTTATGAGGAAAACAGAGAGGTGGGGTCCAGCTTTGAAGAGATGGGGGAGGGGAGACCCTCAGGAGAAGAACGACGCCCATGGCAAGCCCCCCACCCTGCTTGGCTGTAATATCACCTACTCAAGGATTTCAATTGGTGTCCTTTGACTAAATCACGCAGCAAGAGATCCGACCTTTTACATACAGGAATCTTCCCATCCTCTATAAAATTAAAATCCTTTTAGCGTTGAGACTGCTGAGCATAATCACATCACAAATGCCAAATCCCTCTTCCTTCCCCCTAGGCACATTTCACATGGCGTGGCTGAGGGAGTCTTTTCTCAATGTCGGGAGGTTTAAGTAGCTGGGCTCCAGTTAGTGGTGTCACGGGGACAGGTGGGATGCTTGGCGGTTTGGCTGAATGTGATGATTGTGACTGACTCTCCCTTGTGAAATATGGGCACGAGATAGTAGCTCCTTCTGGAAGCAGCAGGCGGTTCTGGCGCTCGGGGTTCGCTGGCTTCCCAACACAGCAATATGGCTGGTGGGAACGGAGGCTTGGTTTCCCAGCCAAGCATTTCACCACTTAGCTCTGCTCAGGACTTCTATATCGAGGCCTTCACGACACAGTTGTCTCCTGATTTTCCCCAGCCAGTAACTCCCCGTCACTAATTATGAAACCAAGTAATTCACAACTCATGGCTTTGGACTAATAAGATCAGTTTCGAGGATTTGATTTGAATCAAGTGCTGTCACTCATTGACATAAATTCTTACAGATTTATTTTTTTAAATGAGTTTGGGAATCACACCAGTGTCACCTTAAAACTGTGGCTGTCAAGAAGTGAAGGTTGCGCATGGCTAAATGTCAGGGGAGGAGGTGCAGTCACACTGCCACCCCTTTGATGCTCAATTATGCAGAACAGGCTGACCTGGATCACGTCTGAAGGTAAGCGTTATTCTGTTCAGTTCTGCCTGCTTCCCAAAGGCACAAACTGGTGCCTGTTTAATTGGTAACATCGGAACAGGGGCTTGGAATCCCATGAATTTAAATTTATCTGCATGTAGCTTTCTCATACTCATGGAGAAAGAAAGAAAAAAATGCAGGCATTGCCCCCTGGGAACGTTATTCTAATTCAGCTGGGTTCATTCAACACTTGTTATTGAACGCCCACTGTTGTCTGAATTGCATGTTTATTCAACCATTAATGAGTATTTATAATACAAAAGGATGAGTTTACTTTTTTTAAAAGCTACATGATGTGGCTTTAAAAATTAACTGACAGTATGGCATCTGCTACTTTTTGGATCACTGTAACTGGATTTCCATCAACTCTAAATTACTCTGCTGCTAATTCTCTAGTTCTTTCTCCTCCTCTCCTGGTGGCCTCTCTTTGGTTATTTCACTGCTTGTTGATACCTTCAGTGAGGAGAACTCAAGGAAAGAGACAGGAGCCAGGCCATCATCTGTCAATAAGGCTGCTGGGGGTGTGTGTGTGTGGGGCAGGGGGGAGCTGAACACAGCAGGTGCAGGAGGAGGCTGAAGTTTCATGGTCCCAGGGAACCTTCCTGGGGAGGTCACCCATGTGCCTCTTTCTCCCCTGAATTAATGACTGGGAATTAATTAATCATACATCCTAGCTCCTGCCACTGTACTGGGTGCTTAGTAAGTACCAAGCATGATGAAACCCGAGAGACATTTTACACAATTTTACGTGATTTCCTAGAGCACTGATTTCTTCAGGGACACATTTTTATTGTTTAAAGGAAGAGACAATGCCTATTTTTGCTTTTCAAGCTTGAAGAATCTTCCCAAGACTTTCTCAGTTCAGTGGTTGAGTGGCTGTTTGAGTTGGATGTTCATTTTACTGTTATGGATTTCATATCAATTGGGAGACATGGCAATTGGAATGCGACATCCATGCCTCCATATGATGGATATGTAAGAGTGCTTTTTTAATCTATTATATCTATATCCATAAAAGGAGAAACAGTTTTATTGTAGCTGTCAGGCAGAAAAATTACCCATATTGCTAATGGGAAGAACGAATGATAACAGCCTCTTCGTTGATACAAATAGTGACAAAATTATATCAGCTGCAGCCCCAGCAGATTGAGAAACATTTCCGATTGTAAATAGTCCAAGAAACTGCAGATCGAAGTATAACCATTTAGTTGTTGCTGTTTTTGACCTAGTTTCCTGGTCCATACATTGGAAAATTCCTTACATTTTAATTTTCCATACGTGCGCATGTTGAAATACCCTGCCCTTAACATCACCCACTGGAAACGTTTGATGTTTTGAGCACCTTCACGTCTAATGCACATTCTGTTTGATCCTGTTGTTAGGTTATGATTTCTGAATGCAAATTTCCATACGGTCCTTAAACACAATTCTACTTTTACAAATGTTTTGTTAAAGCTCATGTGAACCATTTACACTACTAAACCCTAGTTACGTATGTAGTTGACCAACTGACTGTACTCCCATTATACACCCCCCCACCCCGGGGATTAATTACCACCTCCCTTGCTGCTTAGCCAGGCCAGTGGAGAAGAAGAGAGGAAGGCGAGGTGGCGAGGGCCAGGAGGAGAGTGTGCGTGGGCCCGGCAGCTGCAGCAGCCATGGAAGGGGAGAGAAACACATGTCCTCCTGGGCCACTCAAACTTTTGTAAATCCAATTATCTCGGAATGTGTTCAGTAAGTGAAACAAACCAACCAAAAATGTGGATTTGGTTTTCAGCCTCAAAATCCTGTGTCCTAATTAGCTACGGAAGTCCAAACAACACTTGAGGACCACAACTTGGTATTCTCATTTCTCAGAGAAGTCTACAGAGGTGAATAAACGGACCTTGTCTATACTCCGGGTGAGTTAGGACTGGAGAAGAGGATGGGAGGGAGATGAGGATGAAGAGTCATCTGTCCCTCCCAGTGCTTTCAATTAATTCTCCAGATGATCATCACCCTGAGGAGAGGCCGTCTCACTGGATCTTAGGAGAGCCCCGGGGGGCCGGTGTCATAACTGTCATTTTTCTGATGAGGAATCTGGGACTTGGAGACGTTTAGCACTCTTTAATTATCCGACCTTGGGTGGGTTAGTGGTTCACAGTCTGTCCTCTCAGGCAGCCTATAAGCAATCAGAGGGTGGGATCTCTCCACTGTGGCACACGGCTCCACCCCAGGATTTAATGGAGCGCCTCACACAGACATGTATTGGACGCTCGTTGAACAGCTAAAGTTGAAAACAGACTTCAACTGAACTCCTGAAACCCTGTCTTCTGCTTTCCAGCCTTGTCCTTGATACATATTTTTTCCCTAAGAACCTAAATAATTTTCAGTATCCTTTTATCATTTCTCATTTGTCATTTTCAGCATCTCAAGAGCATTCCGGGATGTTATTTTTATTCATCTTCTTCTCTTATTTCTCCTCCTTTTAAACTGATGCTGGAAATGGAAGTGATACTTGGGTTTCAGCGAAGGGATTGGGTGAAGGATCACAGGATATTTTTTTCTGCATAAGAACTGTTTACACTGTTATGGAGAACATAGCAGTTTAGAGGAAAAAAGCTTTCAGGAGTGAATTACTATTATTCTTTGCTTGTTATAATTTACAAAAACAAAAATGCCTCTCTTTCTGGTAGCACACAACCGCCAACAGCCCCAAATACAGGTGCTTAGAAACGTTAAGATTCATTACTGCCATTTGCCTTAGCTTTCTGACATTCTGGATACAACCTCATTAGCTCTGGTTGTTCTGTCTGTTCAAAAATTCCACCCAGGACTCAGGGGTCCATTCAAAATTGAGCTCTAAATCCCTTTGAGAGGGCAATTTAACTGACCAAGTCACATGGCAGAAATGGCTACACTGTAAATTAGACGCATGTAACCCATCTACCTGTGGAGTTTCCATTTATTTACCTTGCCCTCCCCATATCCACAGTCCACACTCACATATCATCGAAGACCAGTTTCTGCCTCTTGCAGTCCCTGTGGCCATTGGAGCCTGGAGACCACGGCTCTGTCTGTGGCCGTGACTTGTGGAGAACGTTTTCGGAATTGTTGTGAGCGGCTTTCTAAACAACAAACAACACACCAGTCTTTGAGAAACTTGCTACCTGGCTGAAAGAGCAACCCATTAAAGAGAGTATCTTGTGTTCTATGTTCCATGTTAGAACTGACGGTACTTTTTGTTTAAATAAAGAAGAAGAAATACGTGCATTTCAGGTCTCAAGTTGAGGGCTTTTACGTACGCTGTCAAATGTCATTCTTACAACAGCATCGAAAGGGAAGTCTTAGTATGCCCACTTTCACAGATCCAGAAACTGAGTCCTGGTGAGATTAAGTCACTTGCCCAAGCTCACGTAACTACTGTGTGTGGAGGCTCAAGCTTAGAACTCAGGTGCTTAACTTATCCCAGTTGGCTAGACGGGTGGTTCTGCAAGTTGACCCTGCAGCAGAGTCATCTGGGGGCTGGTCAACACACACACAGCTGGGCCCCACCTCTAGAGTTTCTGATTTGGCAGGTCTGAGCTAGGGCCTGAGATCAGGCATTGCTAACAGTTCCAGGGGATGCTGATCTGGGAACCAAACTTTCAGAACCACCGAGCTGCAATCATCCCTCGCAACAGAGAAGTCATTCAGGTTACAAATTGGCTGGTTCTCATGAGCTGTCTGCGAAGAATAGGAGAAGCCAGATAAAATGTGTTTTAAAAAGGAACACTATTGATCTGTGGAAAAATTAAAAAATCCTATTTCCTGGAGATACAAATATTACAGAGCACCTGTTGTGTGCTAAACACATGGATTGTAAAACAACTGTCTGGTTATGAAATTCCAGTTGATTCCTCCGAGGTGATTAAAATGGAGTGTACACAAATGCTTCTTTAACTACAAGTGATTTTCTGCGTAGATCAAGCCTCTTTGTCATAAGAGCCCCTAGGACTCCATGCGTTTCCTTTTGGGCGCATGGTGGTTGATTACGGGATGTGAGCCCTTGTCGAAGCCACTCTCCCCAGCTAGCCTGTAAGTTTCACGCAGGCATAGACTGCATCTGTTAGATCATCATCGCATCTCTGTAGCTTAGCATAGTGCCTGGCACACAGTCAGTACCTGATCAATAAACCTCTGTTCAGTGAAAGAATAACTAAATAAGTCTGCCATTGGTTTACGATTCTCTGCACATCATAGCTGCTTGTGATATAAGGATCTAGAAGCAAAGAAAAATTTGTTGTTTTTAAATTGGAATTGGTAGCTTTTTATTTCAGGTTTTTCTAATAGGTCTTCTCAGACTTTTTTAGCCTATAATTAAAGATAATTGCTCCCAAATGAGGGTGCATAAGTGGGTTAATTTCCTGATGATATAATAAGATTTAGGCTCTTGCAGGACCTTCTACCAACTTTACCTCTTTAATTCATGAAATAAATCCTGGCCCCTACCTTTCTTTGCCGAGCCCTATACTCATGTCTCATCTCCCCCTACCTCACAAGCCCTGCTGGCTTTGATAGGCGCCGTGACCTGGGAGAACTCAGTGGGGAGAGTTTAGAATTAAATAATGCATCCCAGAGGATGCATGGTCCAGGGCCACCAGCCGTTAGACAGAGGGTGGCGGTAAAGTGGAACTAACAGGTAGAGTTAGTTGCATAGGTGTCCCATGTCCCTAAGGTGTTGGATTCTTTAGATGATATTGTCTCATTTAAAACTTATCAATACCATTTTGCAAATGAAACAGGCTCAGAGAGATTAAGCAACTGGCCCAAGGTCACAGGCAACTAAGATATGAGGCTAGATGGACTGTGGACTCAAGTCCCCAGAGGAGTGCAGGGGACTGGAATCCCCACTGAGAAGGTCGCTGGAAGAGGGGTGGTGGTGAGAGTCCCATCCTGTGGCTGCTACACTGGTCACCAAGGGCGGAGTGGGAGCCCTGCAATCCTGGGGTTTCCAGCCCAGATCTAAGTCTGTCTTGGGGCAAGGAGTCTTTTCAAATGAAAAGGCTGGTTGCTCCCAAACTCCCAATTTACTTGGTCCTGGGATAGTATTACTGTGGGGCTGTTTCTTTTCAGAATGGGAAATGAAATCCTACAAAGAGGCTTCCTAACAGAAGAGTAAGATAACTCCTCCGGTTTCTCCTCCGGCAGCTCTCCGTGGGGAGAGGTGAGGGGGCGCCTCCTTTGCCAGGTCTTCCCAGAGCTGAGCATTTAGCGATTCTGTGTGGGACCTCAAGCATGTGCTTAGACTCCTGGGCTAAGGGCAGATAGGGTACAGGGGTGTGCTAATTTCCTGCTCATTTATTTGGGAAAGGAAGACCATCAACGTACCGTGAGGTCTCCGGCATGAGGCTGCGGCTGGTTCTCCGTCTTATGCTTTTTGTTGGAGGAGGAAGTGAACAGCCCATTGCTGGTGGATCTGCTGGAAGAAGTGAAGTCCTCGCTGGAGTGTTTGTGCCTGGATGCGTCGGAGAGGGGTGAGATGGGTGACCGGAGCGTTTTTTCATTTTTATTTATTGGTATTGCCAAGCTGAAAAAGGAAATCACAGTAATGGAATGTCACACAGTCAGCACAGGGAAAGGTAAATGTTTTATATATGATCCAAACCGCCCATTTAAAACCTGCTGGTAGGAAGACGTTTATGGGGAATTATTATACCAGGAAACAATTTTATGGCATCAGGACCCTAACAATCAATAAGCAAATTTCACTCGTCGTTTCTTTGCTCGTCCTATCAGGATGAATCGTAATTCTGGAGTTAAATGACTAAGAATAATAAGACTTTGATTTTCAGAGTTCTTCATCCAAGGATCCCAAAATACACAACAAACAACTTACTGCTTTCCTAACAAGCGTAACCAGCAAGTGATGGGAAAGTCAATCAAATGATATATAACTTCTCCACTTCTGATTGGACTTTTGCTAACACCTGAGTTGAACTAATTATTATATGGAGAATAGCAGAATCACAGAATAACCTGCAAAGCATGAAGCCCACTTTCAGTTGTTAGGTTTCTGAGCTAACCAGGTGTTGATCAGAATAAAGACAGAACAGAAAACTGTCCTAGAAGTTACATTTTCTCATTCCTGGCTTCTTACTTTACCTTCAGAACTACTGTCTATGCCTGAATATAACTCCCCTCAAAACTATCCATCAGAGAAGGGAGTCACTTATATTCGAGGGTTTGCAATGTATATTATATTGATAGGGCTCTCTCCATTACCTTACTTTGAAAAAATAAAAAAAAAAGCAATTGGGGGAAGACCCATTAGCCTGAAATAAAGTCAATCATTGCTAACTTGGGATGCTTATAGAAGTCACCTGATAGAGTCAGTTAAAAAAGGTAAATCCATTTAACAAACATTTAGTACACAGGCCTCTACAACAAATGATAAAGGCAAGCTTCTTAATGTTATGCAAATAGATACGTGTAGGGATAGAACGTCTGGTGATAGACCTCTGGTTCAAAAAGCACAGTGCTTCTGACAACTCAGAAGTGAGATGTGTTCTGGAAAACTGCCTTGGTGAATCAAAAGGGGCTCAGCTGGTGATGATGAAGACACTGATGTTGAAGATGAAGTGAACAGTCTGAATATGTGTTTCTTGACATGTGAGTGAAAAAAGTCATATTTCTAAGTCTATTATTTTACATAAATGTGATTTTAAATGTCAAAATTAAATTATTACATTAAATACTGTCATGGACATATGATTATTTCTTCTTCCTCTTTATAAATTTATATATTCAAGTTGCTCAAAGAAACTTTCCTTGGTTCTTCTCTTTGGCATCTTATCTATGGGACTGTCTTATCACACCGGTAAAACTTGAAGGCAGTAATCACAATTCCAGAGGTACACAGACCACCTTTCCTAGAAAGACCTCCGAGCACTTTCATATGCATTGTGTCACTACTTAACATAAATAAAACTGTCAGAGCTAGCAGGCTCTGCCAAGCCAAGGCTCTAAAGCAAGAGTATTTATTCTGGGGTGCATGCACCTGGGTGGAGGAAAGGTATATCTTCATTTCCATTAACCTCTCATTGAAATCGAACAGTTCCTTCAATTGCGAATGAAGGCAAGAAACCAGAGTAGTGGTTTAGCAATACCTGTGACTGTTGTCACCAGTAGAAATCAGACATTTTCATGTCATGTTACAGTTATTGCGGACATTCTGAAATATGGTTTATAGTCATCACTACTTAGACATTATGGTAGTTACTGAATCTGCTAGAAAGGTTATTTAATGCCTCAAGAAAGGAGCACATATATAACTATATCACACATTTAAAGATATTTTGGGTCCACATTTTCCGCGTGCACATTTTCCTGATGTTTGGGGACACAGAGGACGTGGACCAGACCAACTTGCATGTGCGGCCCTCCTTTCTGCTCAGACCTTCCAGAGCCTTGCCCTCCTTCTCAAGGTGATTCTGACACAGCAGCAGGCCTGTGCCTGTGTGCCCTCGCTCTGCAATTTCCTTTCCGAGTTTTAGTACTGCTCTACATCTTTTCCTAACCTTTCAGTTTACATTTTTATGTGTTGTGCTGAAACATTAATCTCCCCTTAAAAATTCTATGTACACAGCCAGGGAGAGTGAAGAGTGTCTGAGCAGAGGAAAAGTGCTCTCCGAGCTGTGGTGTTTCTAAATGGAAAGAGCTTCTATGACTGATGATAAGCTACTTGCTTATAATAAATATCTGGGACCTTGCCTTGCTAGAAAGCCATTTGTCACTGCAGGGATTCAGGGCAATGTGGGTCTGTCTGGAACCCTTTAGAGGATGAGTGGGTGGCCATTTAACCTTGGAGACACAGATCCTGTCTTAACACAACAATTTCCGTCTATATCCAAGAGCTTTAGGTGTGTCATGTGGAGATTCTGCTCAAAGTTTACCTTTCTTCATCCATGTAATAAGCATAGTGTTTTACGGGTTTAGCGGCTATTAAAATAATGGTTGACAATTCACTTATTAAGTTTTCAGAGGGAAAGGTGTGTCTTCGGGAGTGCAGAACTGTGTGTAACTCGTAAGCGGTCTTTTGTTACAAAGAAGTACTTACACCTCACTGGAGCTGTGAGAGGAGGCACACCTTAGGCCTAATTATTAGCCTTGGGGTAAACCACGAGAAGCCAATAGGGAGACCCAGGCCAGAGCAGTCTAAAAAATCTGACTCTCCCCAGTAAGGCACGTGACTTTCAGACCCAGCGAGCCCTCCAGCTCACCTTCCAGGGAACACGCATACCTGTTGATGCTCATGTTGCAGTGGTTCGCAGACAAAGCACTGTTGGCCGAGGCGGTCTGTCGTGAAGAGCTCTCCTTCTCTCCCTGGGCCTTTTTGATCTCCCGGTAGTCGTCTTCGTTGTCACACTGCATGGAAATAGGTGAAAACCAGTCAGCTTTGAATTTCAAGAGACCACGCCGAGCTCCGTCACCAACCTCCACAGAGCAAGGCCTCGCGGAGCCCTGCTCACTCGGCTTCTCTGGAGAGCATCTGAGCAGCAATGTGGTTGTGGCATTCTCGCCCTGGCCTAGGTTCCCCGTCAGCTCCTCAACGAACAAGGATGAAACTTGTCAGTTTTACTATTGACAGTTTATTGAGAGGAAAAGCATGACACCATGATCAAAATTTGGGAGGGAACATTGTAGATGATGAAAGCTGCTCTGCCATCAACAGGGAGAGATACCGCCCTCTAGAGAAGACCTGTTCTGAATTCACATTGTGGCTTCAGCATCTCCCATTTTGGTATTTCTTGGTATCTGAATAAAGTACAACAACCTATTCTGGGCTTAAGGCCATAAGGGAAGTGACAAGCTTGGTCCTTTCTTTTGAAATTCGTGGCTTTTATGAATTTCAAGCAAAGGTTCTTACCTCTTGGTGTCTTACTTCTAGTTAACAATTACTATCCCATGACATCTTGGAACCCTCAAACTCCCTTTTTATAAAACAGTACTTTGGATTCTTGTTTCCATGATTGTGTTTAACTTTAGACGTGTCTTAGGGTGCAATACAAATACACTCAACAAAGTTCCGTTTTTGGTGAGATAGCAGGAATGCAGTAATGGTATATTCAGGGCTCTCAGCAGTGTTTTCCAGGAGACAAGCACCGGCACCAAAGACAGAAAGACTTTAACCTTCTATCTCTAGCTAGGATTGCCACACAGCCTCTGTCACAAGGATCCCAGACATTCACACTGAAATAGTGCCCCCGAGGAGGGCCCAAACCAAAGCTCTGAATCCGCAGTTGTCGGCTCCAGGGCTCCAGCAGGGCTGGACTCTGCACCCTTGGCAGCCAAGTCTGTGGTGTCCCACCTGCCGCACCCAGTCCTGGGGTTGTAACGCCCCAGATGCTGAGTAAAGAGTGCTACCAAAATGTTCTCTCACTTCTCTGTGTCTGTGTTTAACGATGATTCATTAGATTTTTATGAGGAGAGCTGGGTGTCAGGCTTAGCATAAATGAAGTTTCATAAGTTAAAATTAAAAAGGCCATGAATAATGAAATTATTTAAATACAGAATATTATGGACTTTATAGGTATGACTTTCTGCACATCTCTATGTATGCTTATATAGCTATATGTATTTCCAACCTATACGCTTATCAATTTCTATCCCTGTGTATTTCTTATATACCTATGTATCTTTCTCTTTCTTTCCATCAGTCTATCCATTTACCCATCAATCCAACAAGAAATGAGGAGAGCAGGGTATGCAGAGGAAAACAAGAGGAAAGAGGGGTAGGGAAGTAGGGTGCTAACCCGATTATTGAATTATATTGTCTGAATCTGACAACACCCTGGCAAAGACATCACCATTTTACAAATGAAGAAACAGAAGTACAGAGAAGGTAAGGTCACCTCACTGAGGTCACCCAGGAGGCCACGGCTGACTACACAATTTGCAAAATTCAGTGCAAAATAAAAGTGCTGGGCCCCTTGTTCAAAAAGAAAGGAAAGATCCTTGACATCAGTCTTGGTGATGATTTTTTGGATTTGACACCAAAAGCAAAGGAAACAAAAGCAAAAATAAACAAGTGGGACATCAAACCAAAAAGCTTGTACATAGCAAAAGAAACATCAACAAAATGAAAAGGCAACCTACCGAATGGGAGAAAATATTTGCAAATCATATATCTGATAAGGGGCTAATATCCAAAATATATAAAGGACTCATACAACTCAATAGCAAAAAAACCAAACAATCTGATTAAAAATTGGGCAGAGGATCTGAATAGACATTTTCCCAAAGAAGACATACAGATGGCCATCAGATATATGAAAAGATGCTCAACATGACTAACCATCAGGGAAACGCAAATCAAGACCACAATGAGCTATCACCTCACGCCTGTGAGAATGGCTACTATCAAAAAGATGAGATAACAAGTGTTGGTGAGGATGTGGAGAAATGGGAACCCTTGTGCACTGTTGGTGGGAAAGTAAATTGGTTCAGTCACTACAGAAAACAGTATAGAGGCTCCTCAAAAAATTAAAAACAGAAATACCACGTGATCCAGCACTTCCACATCTGGGTATTTATCAAAAGGAAACAAAAAGACTAATTTGAAAAGATATATGAAACTTTCATGTTCACTGCAGCATTACTTACAATAGCCAAGATATGGAAACGAGCTAAATGTCCATTGATGGATAAATAGAAAAAGAAAATGTGATATATGTGTACTACGGAATATTATTCAGCCATAAAAAGAATGAAATCTTGCAATTTGCAACAACATGGATGGACCTTGAGGGCCTTATGTTAAGTGAAATAAGTCAGACAGAAAAAGATAAATATTGTATGATCTCACTTGTATGTGTAATCTAAAAACAAAAAACTCCTTGAATTTACGTACATAGAGAAGAGATTGGTGGTTGCCTGAGGCGGGGGGTGGGGGGTGGGGGGGTGGGTGAAGGGCGTCAAAAAGTACAAATTTCCAGTCATAAAATAAATAAGTTACGGAAGTGTGACGTACAGCATGGTGACTATAATTAATACTATACTGCATATTTGAAAATAGCTAGGAAAGTGGATCTTTAAAGTTCTCATGACAAGAAAAAAACATCCTAACTATGTACAGTGATGGATGTTAACTGGACTTACTGTGGTGATCATTTTGCAATATATACAAATATTGAATTATTACCTTGTGCACCTGAAACTAAAATAATGTTATGTCAACTATACTTCAAAAATAAAAAAAGAGCAGTAAAAGAGTAATGTTATAAAGTACTAAAGTAGAATACATTTTCCTGTCTATCAAGTCTCTCTTTTGACCCGTCATGGTGGTGTTTATTTGCTATTTCATATTGTGCTCCTTGAGGCATGGGAACACATGGGGGGGCCATGTGTAGACTCTCAAGTCGCTGGGACCTGTCCTGCAAATGGGCGCGTGCACAAGGCCCACCAACAGAGGGTGTCCAGTGCCCACCAATGTGTGACCCAGGAGTCCAGGAGTGAGGATGTCCAGTCAGGCATTTCCCTTTCTAAGGCCCACCACCCAAGCCAAGGCGAACCAGCAACCCCTAAGGGCTTGCAGTCTCCCCTCCCAGACCCCATAAGCTTGGGTGAGATGCTGATCCTGACCCCGACCCCCACTGTGCCTGCGCCTTGGTTCCTGGGGGCCAACGGCAGCAGCACTGGTCCCTGGAAGGAGACAAGGAGGGGGAGGTGGCACAGGGCCAGGAGTGCAGAGGGGCCAAAGGGCAGGCAGAACGTGTCTTGGGGAAACAGGCAGGAGGCGGGACCACAGGTGAGTCAAAGCTCCACCTGTCCAGTGCATGCTCTCCTGTCCCATCACACTTCACTTACAAAACACAAATTCAAAGGTAAAATGAAGAGTTTCAAGATGGCAACCAGGAGAGTCAAACTCCAAGCAGGGGCCCTGTGGGGAATGTACCACACAACCGTCAGGCTGACTTATGGAGAGACCCTGGAACCAGACAGCCTGGGTTCATTCCTGGCTCTGTCCCTTACCACCTATGTGAACCGGGGACAAGACACTTTAGGCTCTCTGAGCCTCAGTTTCCTTGTCTGTAAAATGGGCATGACAATAATATTTGCCTCATAAAGCTGTAAGGACTAAACGATTTAACATGTTTAAAGTGCTAAGAAGAGCATCCCTTATGGGGACATTATATACGTGCTAACTGTTGTTAATGATTTCGTCCTAGATTTGGAACCATCCATGATTACTGCAATCTTTGGTTTGTCACCCAGTGTGACATTCCACCGTGGTCCAAGTTACTTTTGAAGATACAGTAACAGGAGGGGATAAAAATCCTCAAAATTGGCTTTAATTTATGATCAAGTTATTCCCATGCTCAAATCTTCACAGACTGCTGAGCATTGGGTCTGCTTCCGGACGCCCCATCCTGGAGCTGCCTTTCTCACTGCCACGCCTCCCCTGTTCATCCTGTTCCCTTTTGGTGCCTCTTCCATCTCCGCCCCTCTGATTACTCAAATGCCCCTCTTCCTCGGGGCACTGTTCTCAGCCCCTCTCCACACACTTCTCCTCGATCAACAGCTGCGGGCTGTGATGCTGCAGTCTGGTGTTCCTCTCCCAGCGCCCCCTCCACCCCCTGCCCGGCATCGGGCACTTCCATATTCATGTTTCACCTGGGTCACAGCCTTAAACTCTATGAGGCTGCCAGCTTCTTAGGTCAATGAATGATCCCACCATCAATGTCACTCCATCTTTTGCAGCAAAGAATGGCATTCACGACGCGTTTAGCTTTTCTACAGGCCCCCATCCAGCTGGCCTCTGCACACACCCGATAGAGATTTCTTGTATACGTACTTCAACACGCAGTGGGACAGCACTTAATTACCAGTAGCTCTAAAATGGGAATAATAACAGTACTCCCCTCATTCGGTGGTTCTAAGGACATAGCTGTGTTAATATATGTCAAGTACTTCCAACAGTACCCGGCATGTATACGGCGCTATAGTAAGGTCCGTTGAGTAAGGACACCTGCACACCGCAGACGGCAGCCTGCCTGTGCTCCACCACCTGCCCACAGGTTCCAGGAAAGCCCTCCCTTCCGGCCACGCGCTCAGCCCCAGGCCTACCTTGCGTTTCCTCTTGGATTTTGGCAAGGCCTTTTCGGCAGGGGTGTCGGAGGTGTGGCTTGGCGGTGCGCTCTCAGTGTCCTTGGATGCAGGGGCGCTCAAGACCCCCGGTTCCTGGGGCAGGTGTTCCGGGATCCTGGACAGGAGGGTCAGGTCAATTTTGACCCAGAGAGACCTGACCTCATCACTGTCCTTCAGCGGGGAGAGAAGTTCGTTCCGGCCGAAGGGGACGAGCGTGTAGAACTGCTCCTCCAGCTCCTTGGCGATGTCACTGGTGGTCCTGGCGTTGATGGAGCCCACGGCGGCCCGGGGGCCGCCGCCGCTGCTGACGCTGTTGGCAGCCTCCTTCAGCCTCTGGTCACTCCCGGAGGAGGCGGCGGCGGCCACGGCCTGCGCTTTGGACAGAGGGTACTCCTCCTGCTCCGACTCCAGGTCCGAGTCCGAGGAGGAGGACGAAGACGACGACTCTGTCTCAATGAACTCCTTGGATTTGGGCACGATCCTGCTCAGCCCCCGCGTGCGCCGCTTCTCGCAGGTCACCGAGGCGCGCAGCTCCTTGCGGTGGCTGGTTCTGCTGTTGCCGCAGGGTCTGGCTTTGGGGGGCTCGGGAGGGGTCACCACGCTCGCCCCCAGGGCGTCCGCGGCCGCGGGCTCCTCGGGCCGGTGGCAGGTGGCGCCGTCGCCGGCGGAGGTCCTCTCGGTGCGCCTGGTGGGCTTCTTGCCCCCAGACCTCCGGGTGGGCGCGGGCGCGCTCTCGGCGGGCGCACCAGGCACCGCGGGTGGGGGCGCGGCTGCGGTCACGGGCACGGCCACGGCCGCGGGCGGGGACTTCTGCTTCACCCCTTTACTCCCCGGGGCCTTGTTCGCTGTCCTGGGCCTCTGCTCCTCCTTGCAGGCGCTCTTGATGTCCTTCTCTCTCAGGCTGGTTTGGCAAACGTCGGGGAGTTTCCCACAGTCCTGCGCGTCGTCCTTCACCGGGGTGTAGTACTGATTGCCCTCTGGCCCGTGGCTTTCATTTTGGATCAGAATGGGTGGCTTGTGAGGATTAACTTTGTTTAGCCATTTATCCAGCTGCCACTTGTTAGAGGACGCTGGTTCAGCCTAAAAGCAGAAAACCAGCAACAACAAAACATCTTTTATTACCGACTCACTTAAAAGGGGCCTGGCTGTTTTTATCTTCACTGAACTCCTCTAGGCGTATGAGCAGAAACGAATCAGCTGGAAGCAAAAGGAAAAAGGAAGCAGTGGGTATGTGTAGCTGTCAGCTGGCACACAGGACGCAGGGGTGGTGTCCCTCTCCTATCCCAGGGCACTTGCAGGTCAGTGCAACAGTTTGGGGCCTATTTGGAAAAATAAGAGGATAGCACTGTGTTTCATTAGAACCCATTTCTAGCAGTTTTGAGTTTTATACAATGTATACTTTTCATAATTATACCTACATAAACTTGAGATTCCACAAAGGTTAACTGGGGAATAGTTTGGAGGCCCTGAGTCTTTAACCACTCATGTTTTGTAAGACTTAAAATTTGGGGGGAAATTAGAAGAGGGATCTAAGTGGAACCTATAATCCCAAAGAATTAACAAAAAATTATATGATGAAGGCAAGTGGGGCATAGTTATTTAATAGAAGAAGCAATAACTTTGGGACACTGCTTGTTTAGAGGTCTGGAACTCCTATTTCAAGGGGACGGGTGTGTGCCCTATATGGTTTGGCAGTTGACTTGGTTAGTCCATCCTCAACCTGCTTTTATCCCACTTTGCCAGAAATGTTTCAGACATGGAGGTGATGATGGAAACCCTTCCAGCAAGCTATTTTGCTAACTTAGAGCAAATCATGCATATTATAGGTTTTAAGCTCTGCCCCATAGATTGGTTCCAGGGGGTCAAGGAGTGCCCTGAAACAGGATGTCATGTAGAAGCATTTTTCTGGGAGAGGCCCAGAGTTCTCATTCAAGTCTCTAGTGATCTATGTCTCATAAAAAGGTTAAGAACTGATGACTTTATACAGAGTAAATACTGTTGATATCTAATAAAAGTCCATTTACGCAGCATCTATGATTATTAATAGAACAGAGGTGTACTTATCTAAGTATAGAAAATATTTTGAATGATTAAGGTGACATATTTTTCTTTCCCTACGGCCTCCCATCCTCTGAATTCGTGGCATCTGTTGTTTCCACATGAGACTAGATTCTCGCCTAGAATAAAGAAGACAATGCTTAGCTTTGCGTTTCAAACTTGATTGGTTGCAGTCCAGAACATGTCAGGCTCCCTTGTAGGAGAAAAACACTTTTTAAAACATAATAATTCCCGAACGCTTGCTTTTATGTGTCAAGATTTGCTTTTCAGTAGTGAGGTCCATATGAGGAGCAGAGGTTGGCGCACAACCACAGGCAGCAAGGACGTGAGGGGAGCGAAGAGAGGGCAGCATCTTAGGCACAAGGGTCCTGGCTGAGTCTCCAGGAGTTCGGGGCATAGCTCAGGGAGGTGGGAAGTCTCTAACGAGCCAGAGGGGCTTGAGACCAAGAGAAGAGGACACAGAATGTGGGGACCAGGCACTAGAGCCATGGCAGGGACCATGGACATCCTGCTGGTTCCCCCCAAACAGATGAGACCAACTGCACTCCAGGGAACACCAGCACAGGGTGGCCAGTGACTGGGAAGGACAAGCGACCTTTCAGTGGAGGCCAGCATGAGGCTCCGAGGCCCTTCCCCTGGGGCTGTGAGGATGGAGAGGCCTCACCCCGGGACACAGGTGTGGGAGGAGAAAGCCTCAGGGCCCTGCTAGGGAGTCTGGTCTTTGACTTGACCTTTTGCTTGTTTGTTTTCATGCATTAAAAGGAGCAGGGCTCCAGAGCAAGATGCAAAAGAACAAAGATATGTATCTTTTTTGTGCCTCTGAGTTGTTATATGTAAATTCTGACCTCGCTTTATTTTGGCTTCTCCAGAGAAAGGGAACGCATGAAACCTGAAGAGCACCCCAGCACTTAGTGCAGTAGCAGAAGCATGCAACAGAGACAGTGGGACAGCAGGACTCCCAACAGCTTCCTTGCTAAGGGGAAGCTGAGTGTGGCTGAGAGCTACTTTGGAGGGAAACAATGTATGACTTCTGATATTGTCTCCTCCCTGCCCCCATTTCTCACTATGTGACCACTACAAGTCACTGACTTCTGTGCCTCAGCTTCCCTAGACAAACGGGGCACAGTAAATATGAATGGATGCTGAAGGGGCCTCTTGCAGAAAGGGTACACATGTTGGGAGAGGGCGCACACATTTGTGGCAGAGCACACCACCTGCCCTGGCCCTACCATCCTGTTTAACACTACCTCTCCCTCATGCCCACCGTCCTGAGCCTTCCACAGCTCACAGCTCTTATGCGAGAGAACACAGGCGTGTGCCTGGAGCCAAACACAGCTGCACACGGAGAGACTTGCACTAAAGCTTCCTGATGGGAGCATTAATAGTGCAGGGGAGAATTTAATAAATTTAGTACGGGCCCATTGCCTGATGTGCTTGAGGGTCATTTTTTCTGCACTTCCCAGTTGAAGAAATCAGTCTGAAGTACCATTTTCAACACATCGCTAAATCACACTCCCTTTCTCAAGGATCTACAAGGACCTCCTACTGCCTCTCCAACGAAGTCTGAATTCCTCAGGCTGCTGTTCGAGGGCATCCATCATCTTACAGTCATCTTTCATTGCCGCAACAGCTACAATGTACCTCCCACTTTACAAATATTATCTAGCTTAATCCGTACAGATAGGAAATATTATCACCCCTAATCTATAGATGAGGCTCAGAGAGGTTAAGCGACCTGTCTAAAGCTGCAGTGCTACCAGGCACTACCAAGACTAGATCCTTATTTGTCGAGGTTTAAAGACCAAATTCTCTCCCCTGCTGCTTTGCCCAACCTCCCAGTACGCTCCGGTGGAGCCTCATGACAGGAAGATCTCATTCTTTTGAGAAATGTTGGTGTTCAACCTAAAATGATAGAATTAGATTTGATTTTTGGAGAATACCACTAACTCTCCAAGCAATACCTGTGGCCCTCTATTATCCTCAACTGCACAGGCTTTTGATGTTCATGTTTGTTTCACATGTATATGTCTTGTGTCTTCAACAAAGTCAAACACCTCTCTCAGGCAGGGGCCAGGTCGCTGTTTCTTTGTATCCCTTGCAGTGTCTGTAATAGGTTAGGAAGACAGACTGCTATGACTCTCCTCCTGATAAGAACTCACAATGGGCTGTCGCTCAAATTGTATCATTTATTCCTCAGAACAATCTCATAGACTAGGCAGGACGGGAATATCTGCCATTTTGGGGATGAGGCAATTGTGGCCAAGGAAGCTTAAACGGTTAAGCGGCAGTGCAGGAGGGAAAACTCAGGGCTTGGGATTCTCCTCCACCGGCATGCTGCTGGCTCTGGTCCGCTTCCTGAACCATTCACTCAGGTTTCTGCCCAGTGGTTTTGTTTGCTTTCTCGCTTGCTGTGTTATATTTTCAGCCACGACCCTCCTCCCTGATTAATCTTCCCTCTGATTCACGCATAACCTCTCCACCGAGTACCTTAGTGTCTGCTTCATCTATATCCTCCATAGCACTCATTGCCAGGTACCCCATAGGTGCCTAATTAAGGAGAAGCTTGTTGAACCAATGAGTAACTTCCATCACATTTCTGCTGATTTTCAAGAACAATCTAGGGCAGTATTTTCCAAAATAGGGTTTTAGTTCATATATTCCATGAAGAAAGGTTTCCATGGTCAGGTAAATTTGGGAAATGCCACAATGGAAACAGCTTACAGGAGCAATATTACAGCCTGGGCAATGCCCTATTATAGTAAAGAGACGGGTTACACCTACTTTATCCTGGCACTCCTCAAAACACGTGACCAGGCTCCTTTTCTCCCATGTGGTACCAAGTACTTAGGGAACACTGGTCCAGGGAGCTCTGTGTGCTGAGGTAAACGTGCTAGCTGAGCGAAGGTGCTCTCCCCCAGTAAAGCCCTGACAGGAAAGGATGTACCAGGCCAGGAAAGAAGATAAAACTCAAGTGAAAAAAATGAGGCTGAGAATAACTAAGCAAATGTCAGACCATAGCGAAGGGCTCTGCAGTGATGGAAATATTGCTTGGAGCAGCTCTGCCGTGCGAGCTTGCAGATACGGCATTATACTATGGTGACTCATGTAAAATGCAGTGGCTTTCTCCAACCACAGCCATAAAGAACAGCTCAGAGGAAACTCAGCTGAGCCAAGTGGGTTTCCAGCCATGGCACAGGACGGGGAGAATGCAGGTGGCTTGGACCATCGCGAGTGCTTCCTCCTATTCCCACGTCAGGATGTTACCAGTGGGGGAAGTGAGGGCCAGAAACGCTTTGCTGCAAAGCAGCGTCAATCGGTCTGCACAGCAGAATGTGCGGTGTGAGGCCATCCAAAGCCTGAGTGTCCTGTAGGGCTCAGGATAAAGAGTCTTAGTGCTCTCTATAAGGTGACCTGGGCCAGCTCAGTCACAGCCAAACAGTGACACTGAGCAGGGTCAGCCAGATAATGTCACTTACTGTCTTTGCAATTTTCATTCTGCAAACTCATTTTATTTCTAAAGGGTGTATGTCTGTATTAATCTTGTGAAAAACGTTAAACGAAATGTTACTTTTATGCCAACTAATACATTCCTTTCCAACAAAAAGGAGTAACATGCAGCGTGGCTAACACAGCTCTTGCTACTTCTCATTCCCTCTGAGTAGAGAAGCAAAGAATTGAAAATTCTAATTGGCCTCAGGCAACTTAAACTTTAGGCCTGCTTTAGTAGACTCACGCTCCCTCCTTAGCCAGGGGCCTCTGTTAGCTGCTGGAAGAAAAGGCAAGAGCTTCCTTTCATCACCAAGAAGTTCAAGTCTTTGTAATTATCTCAGTGACATTTAGAGAGAATTTGCTTACAGCACTTTCTAACTGTACTTCTCCTCGGCTGGGTTTCAGCCTCCTTCAGGAGCTCCAACATTCACATTTCAGCACGCAAATGAGACTCCACATTCACGAATTTAACCTTCAAAGTCACAAAGAAGAGCCTGCATGGGGGGTCTTCACAGACACTAACACGTTTTATCCACCTCCACTGCGCCCCTGGCTCTTGCAATGTCTCTGGAATCCAGTTATTTCTTAAAACTAAATATTCTGGAGTTTCTCAACAAATTGTAGCACAAAGCTGGCTTTGAAGAAGCCTGTTTAACTCCTCAGTCTTATTTAACTCTTATATATTTTTTGTTTCAAATGATTCCCATTAGAACGTCAGTTCTAGGAAGACTGGGACCTTTTCTGTCACATAATTGCTGTATCTCAGAGCCAGGCACCATATCTATGGCAGATGCTTAGTAAATATTTGTTGAATGAATGCTGAATGAATGAATGAAATTATGAAGAAGGCCTAATAATTCCGTTTCTAGGAAAAGTCAACCTATGGCTTTTATAGGTTAATGTTGCCTAGAGCCTTCCCCTCCTGTAGGTAGACAGAGAGAGACAGTGTGGGGAGTGGGGCTCATGGAAAGGAGACAAAAATGCAGGAGAGATGGAGAGAGGCCTTATTTCAGGATGAATGGGGAGCTTCTGGGGCAGAGCAGAAAGGTGCTGGAGAAGAAATGAGGAGTGTGGGGAAATAAAACCTCCCTGGGTGCTCAGTGCCCTGCAGCCAGCTTCAGCCTCCTGAGAGGAGAGTGGAAGGGGAAGAGCCTGAGGGAACGTAAGAGCCACTCTGTGAACCTCAGACAGAAACCCCACTGCTTTCGGGTGGGATAATGTCCCACGGCACAGGCAGAAAAGCTGGAAGCAGGCATTGTGTTGGCTCTTAATGTGCTCCCCTCTCACTGCCACGGTTTGTAGACTGACTTTGGTTTCATTTCAGAGCCTATTTAGAAATTTGGGCTCCAAAGTGGTACAGAGGGTTGTAGGTAAAAAATCAAATCCTACGATCCATGGTAATGTCAAATGTTTACACACGCAAGAAGAAACTGTCTTTTATTCCTTCTTTAGAAATCAAAGCCTACCCTCACAGATCCAGACTTGAGCAGTTTGCTCTCAACCCTCTCCCAAGATCTCCATACTCTGAATTACTATTTAATTTTCCCCTTTCCCCTTTCAAGTAGAAATAGCGATGGTTTTTATTGGTACCTTGTAATGTTTTTACATGAGGCACCTAAATCTTCCACACAGATACTCATCATAGCTATAAAAGGTTTCATTATTATTTGTAGGTTGATGCTAATTTTTCTTTTCATATTTTCACAAAGAAAACACAGTTAAGAAGGTTTTATTAATATTTATAGCCCTTGTCCTTCTGATCCGTGACAAACTGCAAAAAGGTAAGATTCTAACCATGTCTAATCTATGAAACTCCTTTCCCTATAATTTATGGTGGCCACACTTCCCAGGCGGTGAACTGCCCTGCCTGCTTACTGCCTCTGCCGACCCTTAGGGAGACCCGATCCATAGGTTATTTCCAGTCAGTGATGTATACAGCATACTTGGAAACTTTTGGGAGGCAGGATAGAGATTTTTGGACAATGAAAGATGAAGTTTCTGTACTTCAAAGGAAGCTCTGTAACTGGAACTATGAGGAGGGGACAGAGTGGGGAAAATGATGAGCCCAAACAAATCCAGATGGGCCACCAAGGGGTGGTGGCCTCAGGGGTCACTGCTGGCAGGCCAGTCCTCCTGTCACAGCACGGAGGCTGGGGGAGGGGGGCAGGTGTGAGAACCAGGGCTCCTGGGTTTCCTGTCCTCACGGGGAGAGACGCATGCAGGGGAAGGGCCCCGGGGCCAGTGTGGCTCTTACCTCGGGGCTGGAGTAGTGGGGAGGCTTGCTGCCCTCACTCTCGCTAGAACTGCTCTCGGTCTCCGAGTCGGATCCGGAGCTGCTCTCCGAGTCGCTGGAGGAACTGTTGCCGCTGCTGCTGCTGCCGCTGCTGCTGCCCTTGCTGGGAGGCGCGGAGGCTCTGCAGTCGGCCTGCTGGACCACGGCGCTGCCGGCCCACGAGCCCCCGGGAAGGAAAGGGAAGGAAAGCCAGGTGAGCAAACACGAAACCACGACCGAGCAAGCTGTCACTCAACCAGAGGAGACAGGAGGCACGCAGTCCACACAGCTGTCAACCATCACTGGGAACCGGAAGAGCAATCATCAGGATCAAAGGCATCTTAATGGTTAAAAAAAACTCATATATATGAATAAAATTGAGAATGAAAGTTGGAGCCCCTTGGTGGTTGGCACTAATTACTTGTGTGGCCTTTTTAGAAGGGAAGGTGGTGTAATCTCAGAATGGCTGCTGCTGTTTTGCTGCTGTTTTTGGGGAATGGCTTTTCAAATGCAGCCCCAAATCCGATCATCTTCAAAAATTCAAGGAAATCCAAAATGCCTGAAATATTTTATAAAGGATGAAAGTGTCTGTTTCCTTATTTTTAGAAATGGGCCATGAGGAAGGGCACAGTGTTATGCTCTGTGCTTTCCTGGCTGCTGGAAGGTTCTGGAGATTTGGGGACCGTCAAAGTTAGTCTTGCTTCCCGCCTCCTACTGCTCATAGAGTCGGGTGTTGCAGTTTTTACAGAGCTGGCTTGCAGTATAAATAGTAATTTTCCTTTGAGCCCTTTATTAAAGAACTGAAGAGCCATCACTTACACGTTTTTATATATTCCAGCCTTTCAAATCCCATGGCTGTACAGTGGCTTATAGCAATAGCATTTCAAATTATAGTTGACATTCATATTCCTGCTGAAATTTGACAGGAAGTTATACACTCAAATCATATACTCAAAGAGAACAGGAAAAACTGACACTTTCTAATAGTAATTAATTAGCCACAAAAATTCAAACAGCGTGCATCCACCCAAAGAGTGAGCCAAAAAGAAAGCTTCGGTACTCACATAATAGTCAACATCTTCAAAGTCCTTTATTAATTGCATTGAAACACACCTGAATCTGTTCTGTGGAGCTTAAATTCTAAACCCGGAAAAGGCAGTGATCCCTTTTTCCTGTTGAGTCAGCAAATATCTGCTTGCCCCTGCCAATTGTGACCACGGCTTCAAGAGGAGTGCATATCAGTGAAGGCCAGGCTCCGGCGGAGCTGGTCAGAGCTAACGGCCTCAAGTACAAGGAAGCCTGAACAAGGTAACAGACCCTTTTCACCCGCCCCTTAAATCTTTGACAGATGCTTCGCCCAAGGACAGATTCTCATAAATCTTCAGTGTGGGGGTGGGGTTAATGCTCATTGGAGTCCTGCTTCTCCTAGAAGAATGAGCAGATAGAAGAAACTATCTCGCAGGATATATCTGAAGATGCAAACACCTTTGTTGAACTGCAGGGTTAGGGAAAAATGGAGTTTGAACATAATCTTCCCTAGTGGTTTCTATTTCTTCCACCAATGCCATGGTCCATACCCAGTGTCTGACCAAATTCTTCAACCTCAGACACCACCTGCACGTTCATGCCTTGCCTGAGCCGCAGTGATTTCTTTTCCGGCCTGTCATTTGTTTCTGGTGTTGAGAGAGGAATCCTGGATCTTTCCATAGAGGTGGGGAGGGAAGGTTAGTGATCACAGGGCTGTAATATTTCTTTCTTCCCTGATGAACTAAAATCCATCTTTCCTGTTGGCTGAGTCGAGATGGCCACTATCAATGGAGTCATAAAAAAAAGACTCTCAGATTCTGAGCAAACATGAACATCTGGGATCCATGTTCGAGTTTGTCAGCAGGCCCCCAAAACACTGGGGAAATAACTCCAAAAAACAACCCCCCTCCCAAAACCCTAAAACCCAAAAAAGCAAAGCAACACATGATGAGGAGAGAGATATGTCTCCTGCCACACTCTGGAATGGCACTTGCTGACGACTGGGAAATAAATGAAGATGAATGAAGAGCATTTTGATTGGTTTCCTATGACGGTCAAAGGCTCTAATCACCGAGCAGTACATTCTTCCTGCTCTAATTCAAACAACAAAGAACGTGTGAGGCTGATGTGTGGGTACCTGGGCGGTGTGTGTGCAGCACAAGCAGCAATGCATGTGGAGTTCCCTGGGGCTTGTACCGCAAAGTGACTGACTGTCTTTTGAAAAGCAGGACTTTAATTTCTGGGGAAATGTCCAATAAACAGTTGCGGGGCTGCCTTCTTTTCATGACCGCGGTCCTATAGTAAGGAGACGCATGAGCCCAAGGGGACAGAATCTCTGATCTGAACTAGACCGACAGAAAAGCCTACTACATTTATGTTTTCCTTCCTTAAATTAGGAAAGTCACTTAAAATGACAGTTTTACTGGCATAACTATTATTTGTTTTTAAAACAGCTCAGAGAGCCAAGAATTTTGGGTTTTTCTTCATGCTTTGCTTGGAAGGGCTGCGAGGCATACGATGCCTCTGGGGTCAGGATTGAATATATTCATGTTTCAATGATCCGGGTAGAGAATATGTCACCAGAAACAATCCATGTCAAGGATGGGGGCCTGGAAGGGCTCCGGCGGCTCCAGGTGTGGGATGGAGGTAACGATCCCTCCCTCCACCAAGGCTGCCTCATTAGCTAGTCTTTCTGGGGGTTCTTGGGGGCAACCGGTGTTTTGGGCCTCAGCACGGTGACTGCGCTTGCCATGAGTGCATGCAGCTGCCTTGCCTCTGTTGGGGTAGCTGCAGCAGTGGGGGTGACAGGATAAAGTCGCGGAAGTGGGGGATGCTCCTCCCTGCGGACCAGCACTAAGGAAACGATGGGCTGGGTGAAGCCAGGAGGGCTCTCTGGAGTCACAGAATAAAGAAGATGAAAACCGCATATCAGAAAGACCTTCCTGAAAGAAGACTTCAGGCTTTACATATTTAAAATTGCCAATGGAAAATTTTAGTGTGCCAACTAGCTGTCATGTCACCATACCAAAGAGGTTATAAAAATTAATTAAAAATTAACCTTTTCCTGAAATAACACGGATTGATTGACATGATGACACAGCTCTAGGCAATTTTTAGGAGAGTTCTTGGATCCTATGCCATTTCAGGAACATAGTGCCATCGAACCTGCAGACGTGAAAACACTACCGAGATCATGGAATAAAAGTCCATGTGTCACCAAACTTAGCACAGTGCCTGGGACACAACAGGCCTTCACGTGCGATTACTGAATGAAAAAATCAACAGGAAAAAATCCAACGTTGGGTTAATGAGTTAAAAAAAAGGATTTAACTTTCAAAAAGGTTACAATCTCTCTTTTCCAATAAAAAAAATATTTAAGGGGATTTCAGCACTTCTTATGCTCTTCCAATTTTAACACTTCTTGCTGTCAGAGAATAGTTCTTTCAATGTACTCTGAAGCTCACCTGCTATAATTTAAGCACAGTTCTCTCTTGGGTGGTTTATTGACTTTTTGTATTTCGCGTCCATGGAATGTTTTGCTGGTTTTCTGAGTGGTCAAGAACAAACACACCTTTGAGAGAGTCGCAGCTTTATTCTACATGATCTGCTTGCTGTGTCCCTTCCTTTGGCTGCAGTGACACATTCCTTTCAGAATCTGGCCTGGGCTAAGACAGAATATAGACAGTAACAGAAAAGATCTGGAACCTAAATGACAAATCCTGAATGTCACAGTCAAGGGTACTCCTGCCTGCCAAGCATACTGTGGGGCCGGGATAAATATCCAAAGTTATCCACAAGCTGTCAACTAACAAGTAACTTGGAGGCAGGCTCTCTGCCTGGCTGGCACCTGGTGAATAGTGCGATACCCAGCACAGTGCCTCGCAATCTGTGGGCATCCACTCGTATTAGCCGAATGATAGTATTTTAGAAGAGGCTACAACACCTTCTCACTCAACATCCTGGATGAACTCAGCAAATGCTTGACTTCCAAACTAATCAGTGCCCTGGCAACAGTATTCCTTTATTGATGGGATCTTTATTGATATTAATTATCTAAAACTATAACCACATTATGAGAAGTGAAAATGGTAAAAGCTGGCATAAGGAAGTTCACTGTTGGAATTATCTTCCAAAAAACAAAACTGATAGGACTGTCAGTCCAATACTAAATTTTTTTGTTTGCTCTGCGATACCATCAGGAACAATTCTTTTGTTACACATGCCTTTTTGAAGCTCTGCAGGGTCTGGCCTCAATCAGATCTCCAGCTTCACCTCAGTGGGTCTATCCCTAAACCTCAGACATAATAAATTTCTCATCATTTTGACAATCTGTGTCTGCTCATAGCTGAGTGCCCCGCTGAACATGCTATTTTCTGCACCCGAAAGTCCTCTCTCCCTTTCTTCTTCTGTTACCTCCTACTCACTCTCCAGGACTGAGTTGCAATGTTACCGTATTCTGTAAAGTTTCTCCCAACTTCCCAGGCATAACTGATGTTTCCTTCTCTGAGCCCCTTTAGCACATTGCCCATTTCTCTATTGTAGCTCTTACCATATTAAGGATAGGAATTATCTAATTTGTCTGTGTATCCCCAGAGCTAGCAGGGATCTGGCACAAACAGATTCTCAACAAATATTGATTAAATGAATAAAAGAAAAGAAAAATGATCCTTGAAACAGTGTGTAAGTCAAAGTGTTTTGTTATACTATGAAGTAGCCCATGAGATGTTCATATACACACATACATATATTTTTCTATTGCTTTGGGGCTGCTGAGGATTTCATGCAACTAATAACTTTAGAAAGCTACCATCTACATTACAGCTGAAAATTGAAAACCTACAGAGGCCAGGCAGGTAGCATAAATGAGTAAAGTGTCCAAGTATGAGAAACCCAAACGCCTAACATGTGATGATAAATGACAGCGGATGCCTGGCTCCCCAGGCGGAAAGGGGTCAGAGTAGAGAGTCCCATTTGGTCTAATGCTTCCCCCTCAGGCCAGCATATCTCTGCCATGTGGGAATGAGAGCCCACTGTGACCAAATCCTTTGATTTTTTCAGAGGAAGCCCCAAACCCTGATATTTCAATCAAATTTCCTAATTTTAAATGCCAGTAAATAATCTGAAAAGTTTTAACAATGAAAG